ATACTAACAACTCCATATGCGCCAAAACTGACGAGCGCCTGATTCCACCGTGTCGCGACCCATTATTATGTTCCTTATTGGTCAGTTGTCAATATTTTTTACAATAAATATTTGTTTCTATCCTCTAAATGTCATGACCTTGATCATCCACAAGTACAGAATACATGTTTTTACTTCAAAGTTGATATGATTTGAATTATTTAGGAGGCAGGTTGCTGTGACCATGTTTGTCAAGGCTGTTCCTGGCTTTTAAGGACATTATAACTGGAGACATTTTCTAGGAGGTTTTTTAAAAATATGATTGGCACCATCAAGCGCTAGCATGTGGCTTATCTGGTGCTCATCTTCTTAATTCATCTTTTTAAAACATAACCCAAATCTGTATCTTTTTCTTTTTCTTTTCCTTTTTTTTTGGGGGGGGGGGTATCACGCTGGACTACGAAGCAGATAACCCCGGTTCGAATCCCAAACTATGCATTCTTAAACTCGGGTCGTTTTGTGAAGTTCTTAAGGGTCTCAGCCCAATAGACTCAGTCCCATTGGAGAAATTTCGGAGTTCCCGCCTGTTAGATAAATAACAAATTTTGATAGCGTCGTTAAACCCTTTCCCCCTATTTGTTTTATCTTGTTTTTGTAAACAAAAACATTGGCAACGGTTGACGCACATCACACAGCATGAGGAGAATACGACATTTTCTCCACACGAGTTAAAAAACATCCCCCAAGGACAAGATTCCGCAATGCGCAATATTTTGTCCGCCAGAACTAGATAAAAAATATCGGTTAACTAAATTCGTCATTGTATTTTGGAGCATCGTTTGTTCACGGTTCTTTCTGCATTTAAAAAAATTGTTTTGGGTAAACAGTTGTTGAAAGGTCCTTCTGGAAGAAACGTTAATCCAGGTGCGAGCTAGCAGACATGACACATATTTGTGGATTTGAAAACAACTTACATAATGTGATGTAGGAATGGTGTATGTGTCTATAGAAGTTGATGGCTCAGGTAAAAATGCAAAACTGTCCATGTTTATCGTCCCTTGTAAAAACTATAATTAGAATATTTAAGAGGCAGAGTGATAAACGTGGTTTCCTGTATAAACAAAGCGTGTGTGTGTGTGTGTGTGTGTGTGTGTGTGTGTGTGTGTGTGTGTGTGTGTATGTTTGTATGATAGAGATAGAGACATAAAGAGACAGACACAGAGAGAGAGAGGGAGGGGAAGAAAGGAAAGAGGAAGAGAGAGGGGGGTATTGGGGATGAACTGTTGAATAAAAAGGAGTTGGGGTGAGAGAGCAAAGCCGATCTAACACTTAATCGCGTATCTGTAAGCGTGAAAGTGTGCATGCGCACGTGTGCGTGTGAGTGAGTGAGAGAGGGAGTATGCGTGTGTATGTGTGAGTGTGTGTGTGTGTGTGTGTGTGTGTGTGTGTGTGTGTGTGTGTGTGTGTG